GCCAGGACCAGAAGCGGTGCTCCTGGGGCCCAAGAAAGGCACTGAGTTGGTCTGGGTGAGAAGGGTCAGGAAGCAGTATTGGTTCCCCAGGTGTCTGGGGCCCCAAGACTAGGAATGGCGCAGGGCCCAAACTAGGAGTATAGAACGGTGGAGGGGATGGAAGGGTGAATGTGGCTTAGGGAGTCCCAGCGTGGAGGGCTGCGCTATAGACTTACCCCAAGAGGCCTGAGGATAGCAGTGCAGGCTAGGAGAGTTAGCCGGTGGTGCAGGCACAGGGAAGCAGAGAGAGGTTAGGGTGGGGCCAGGACCAGAAGCGGTTCCTGGGGCCCAAGAAAGGGACTGACTTGGCCTGGGTGGGAAGGATCAGGAAGCAGTATTGGTTCCCTAGGTGTCTGGGGCCCCAAGATTAGGAATGGCGCAGGGCCCAAACTAGTATAGAACAGCAGGGTGGATGGAAGGGTGAATGTCGCTTAGGGAGTCCCGTCGCGGAGGGCTGCGCTATAGACTTACCCCAAGAGGCCTGAGGATAGTCCAACTCCAATTCTTAATCTAACAATACCTTGATTTGTGTCTGCTACTACTTTTCTAATTTTTCTTAATCCTCAAAGTTAGAATCTACTGTCTGCCCACTGAAGATGTTTATTCCAACCTTTGTATCCTGGTTTTAAGGATGACATTCAACAGTAAACCTAAACAAATATTCTAGGAAGGTCTGTTGAAGTCAATACACCCATGATGATTGAACTGCCACAGTCAATGTGGTGCCAATATGGGTTTGAGGCACAAGACTGAGACCTGCCTGCTGCAAGAGGTTATTCTGAGCCAATGACTATTACAGTTGGCTAGCAGTGATGCAGGGCTTAACTCTGGTCCATCTCACTGTGGCTACAGGCAAGAGCTTGTGGGGTTTGTCAGTGGGTTTTATGGTGGCAAGCCCATATTGGAGTCTAAAACGTTCTACGCTTGTTCGCTCTTTCCCACAGGTAACTGTATCTTTACGCTTTGTTGGTTGGTATGTACGCAAGAGTGACCCGAGAAATGTACAATTATTTTTCCTACCCTACTCAATGCATGTTTTCTTACTATTATGCTACAGCCAGGTTCTTTGTTCTTATTTGGCTTGCTTAACTCAAGGGAAGATATTTTCGTGTTACTAATTGTTCAATGGGTATTTCTGCTGAGGGATAATTGCTAGAGAGTCTAATTGCAGAAATTTAATTCTAGAATTCAGACAGCTTTGGTTAACAGCTCTAGAAATTTCAAAGTCTTTTCTAAATCTGCCTTCATTAAAAGGCTTCAGTTGGACCATGATTTCTAAGTATTGGGAAAGAAATTCATTTTTAGTTGAAAACAATCAAGTATAAAGCTGAACAAAATCATCAGAAATAAACATTCCAGCACTCTGGGAATTAATAGAAGACCTACAACGGAGGGCGTGTTTATTCATGAAAACCACTGGAGTTCAAATGAGAACATGATTCTGTGGTGGTCCTGCCAGCTCAGGGAAGCTCCAAGCCCATGATGACTACATGTTCAATGGTTAAACCACAGTGAAGGAAGATCCTGCAAATCAGGACTGTTTGCTGGGCATGGTGGGAACATGCCTATAATTCTAGCACCACAGGCAGAAAGATGGCCAGTTTAGGGCTAGCCTCAGTTACATACAGAGACCTTTCTGGAAAAAGACCAAAAAGGGGGGAAGGTGCTGTCTTAATCTCATTTTCACAAGGGGACTCATCTGATTTGATGTACTGTTGTTTAAATCTGTGAATTCAATAATAGGCAGTTTACTAGCTGGGGTGGGATTTTCTATCATGCAAACCAAAGATGGAATACCTAGGTATTTGAGATTTCTGTAACATAAGAAACCCATAGAAGTTGATAAGCAATTCATGAAATAGTCTAGGTTTACCACAGGCATGTAGGCTTGAAAACAATCCAGCTATAGGCATACACTTGGTTGTCAAAGCTTTTGCATACAAAGCAGAATAAATTCAACTAAAAATCAAAAGCCATAGTAAACATGCATGTACTTATTAGTTCAAAAATAGGTCCATCAACAAAGACCAGAAACTGAATGGAAAAGTCTAACTACAACCTTTCATTACTTTCTGGCTAACTACTAAACTATGGAGACAACACAGATAATCCCAGTAAACTAGAATTCATCAAAATGCCTGAGCAGAGATATCAACTACACACACTGGAGCAGAGACTGGTATTACATACTCAGAAGTCCAGCTGCTAACCAAAGAAAAAAATTCTGAAAAGAAACATAATAAACAATACTTCCCACATAATTTGGGTAGGATTAGAATTCTGAGGAAAATGATTTGGACTTTATAGGCCTTGAGGGAAAAGAAGAAAAAAAAAAAAAAAAACCAGACATAGTAATAGAGGGCATGGAGACAGGGGAGGGGGCTGAATATGACTAAAATATATTGTATAAATTCTCAAAGAAGCAATAAAAATGTTTTTTAAACAGATCAGGAATATCATGTAACACAATCCTTCTGATTATATCTATCTTCTTCAATGAAGAGCATATACAGTCTGAGTAAGAAAACCGAGTGTAATTTTAATTATTTCAAGAACGTTATTTGGTTAAAACACCAATACAATGTGCTCTAAAATGTTCTACTGAGTTAAATAAAAATTCAGCTGTAAATCTTGTAACATGTTCAGATTCACAAAACCTGAATAAAAGCACAAGCCTTTCATTTCTATCCCACAGAAGTAGAAAAACCACTTGGAAAGGAATTGTGTAATTACAACTGAAATCAAATGTAATTACACAGTTTTAGAATAAAGCTCGTTGCTTATTAACAAAATACTGTTCTTCTGAAATAAATTTTATCAGCTACATAGTAATATTTAAAAGAAAACCTGAGCATGCATGCTGCGTTATTAAAACGTTCTAATTTATATTTGGACTGTATTTTTATGCTTACAATTCAATTAGGTTCTTTAAAAGGCCATCTCATATGGTCAATCAGGAACATTTAAATTAAGGACATCTTCATGGCATTTCCACTGATATATGTAGAAATGATTTACCCAAAAAAGCATGATATCTTTACCAAAGAGAAATGCTACTATCAAGAGGTGATAGTTTTTCAATAATTTTAACTTCCAAATTAAAACACTTACCAGTAGATAAAGGCACAATTTTACTCACTTCAAGTAATCAATCACAAAATCATTGCTTACTTTCAACATAACTGATTGACATTTTTTTCAAACAATCTGGTTTTAATTCTTGTAGCTCTTTATTAATAAACTTGCTATGGGTTGCTAAACTGCAATAGCTGTCATCATGAGAATAACCAAAATTAGATAATGTGACAAAAGACTGACAAAGTGTTTCACACCCTTGAATTACACCAAGTCAAGAATGAGGGTTACAAAAGGAGACTGTGTTGTTGCATATATTCCTATAGTAAAACCAGCAATGCGTCCACATGGAGAGTCATCATCTCACTTCCAATTTCTTCCCCTCAAGAACAATTTGAATCTCTTTGGCATCCAAAGTCTCATAGGTCAACAAAGCTTCTGCTAGATTCTTGTGCTCTTTCGCATGAGTTTTCAAGATATGTTTTGCTCGTTCATATGACTCCTGAAACAGAAAAAAAAAAAGCAACAGAAAATACAGAGGCAAAAACCTTAAGCAAGAAGAAAAACAATGTACCTTAAAAATATGTTGATTTATGATTTATACTTACAAAAAGGACACATTTGTTCTGAAGTACAAATCATTTGTACACAAGGACAAATGATTTGTACTTCAGAACAGTATTATATCGAACATATTAAAATAGACGGGTTTGATAATGTTTTCAGTGTCTCTACCTTTCCAGAATGTTTTTGTTTTAAATACTAAAGCACTGACCACAGAGGCACACATCTTTATCTCAGCACTCAGGAGGCAGAGGCAGATGGATCTCTGTGAAATCAAGGTCAACTGGGGCTACAGGGAGACCCTGTCTCAACCCCTGCAGCACCCCACTGCCCCAAAAACCCAACTATATTACTAAAGCATTTCTTCACCCTCCTGTAGCTAATCAAAGCCTAGCTGTTTCTTGGGAAGACCACTTTCCTTAAATTTTCTTACTGTTATCCCAGACACTTCTTTTGTTCCTATACCTCTTGCAGAAAGTACTGTTCCTCTGAAGATCAGACTATTTGATCTGCCCTAACCAACCCTCTTCAGAGGCCATCAAACTAATACTAATTACATTCCTTATTCAGTAGACATTGGCCCTCAGCTAAATCTTTTCTTCCATTTTAAGAGAGATGGTTAACTTCAATACTAAATCGAACATGTAAGTAACCTTTCTAGTAAACGCCAGACCAACATGACTATTTCTAACTTCAAATGTGTTACATAGCTAAGGATATCCTTGAACTTCTAAACTCGTCTCCTACCTCCCAAGAGCTGAGATCACAGGCATGCATGCCAGAGCACCCAGTTTCTGTAGTGCTGGAATGCAAACACAGTCCTTCGTAAAACCTAGGCAAGCACACCATCAACTGAACCACATCCCCAGTCTACAAAGTATCTCTTGAGCCCACCCAATGTTTCTTCATCTTTATGTTGTATAGGTGAGAGTTCTACCAAAGAAATATTAGTTGTCATCACTCACTTAAGTTTTGGTTGCAGTGCTGGGGATTAAACCCAGGGTCTCTCATAGTTTAGGCAAGCACTCTCTACGACTGAACTACATCCCTGGCTTTACTACAATTCTAAAACCTCCATTTCGGCACATTACGTCTTTAAAGAAATAATCAAGTGCAGAAAAATATTACCCGTAGAAGGATTCTTATTTCTTGTTCAATGGCAGATTGAGTTTCAGGACTTAGTTTTCCTGTATCACTGTAGGTCATAACTCCAAGCTAAAACCAAAAGGAATGAAGTAACTGAATGAGAAGCTCCATAATACCACAAAAGAGTACTAGCCTACACATAAAGAAACAAATATTATGTGTGAGGGTGGGGAGAAGAAGAAATATAAAATTGTTGAGTTCAATGAAATGTTACCACCCTTCTGAAACTATAGTAACTTTGTTAAGCCCTGGCACCTCTCCCAAATCCAGAAATCCGTAATTCACAGAGTATACAAGTCCTTCATGGGCCACAGAAATTATATGAGAATGAGAAATATATGGAAAAGGTACAGTAAGAAAACCCAGAAGGCAAGTTATTTCAAGTCACATGAAAAACTACATCATTTGTTATTTGTTAACCTATGATGTCTGAGGATTTAAATCAGAGCAGGGGGAAAAAATTCTGTATCTTTGTTACTAAACAGAATATTAGTAGAACAATGCTTAAGAATGTAAACAATGGATTAGAAATCAGACAGGTGAAAAGTATGCTATCAATTAATAAATCAAAAGAAACACATGGTAAATTAACTATTACCTTTTCACTCATTCCAAATTTGGTAACCATCCTCTTAGCAATTTTTGTCGCATTATCAAAATCACTTGAAGAACCTAAATTTAAAGGAAATACATTTAAAAAAAAAAATCTTTAAATCAGACATAAATTTGAAGTAAATACACTACCTGAAACTAACCTGTTGTAATATGGTCGGTACCAAATATAAGCTCCTCTGCCACTCTTCCTCCCATACTAACATCCATTTGTGCAAGCAACTGGGCTCTAGTTTCATTCCACCTGTCATTCTCAGGCAACAGTGACACCTAGACAATTTAATAATAACCAGGTAATAATCAAACAGCCTCACACAAAGTTACTTCATTCTTTTCAGAGTATGTGCAGTGTAGTAAACTGTGTATTAGTATACTGAAGACCAGAAAACATTCAACAGGGATGGTCATTAAGCAATTAATGATGAAACAACATGAAAAATAGGTGAAGTTCTCTACAGAAGCACACGCTGTAAACAACACGTGCATAACGTTGCAGTGGGATTGTTTTTCCTTGCATGCATAAAGTAGTTCAGGAGTCATGTATTAGAAAGACATGAGAGCTGGGCGTGGTGGCGCACACCTGTAGTCCCAGCACTTGAGAGAAAGAGGCAGGCAGATCTCTGAATTCAAGGCCAGCCGGTCTACATAGTGAGTTCCAGAACAGCTGGGGCTACAGGGAGACCCTGTCTCAAAAAGACGAAAAAAAAAGAAAGACATGAGAATGGAGTATAACCAAGAAATATATCTTGTAACTACAGAACTGTCACTAAGACAGTTTCTCTTTAGGTCTAGTAGAAGATTTGTTATTTAAGAATTGTAGTCACTCTGCTTTTACATTTTATAATGTAAAGATCCAACACCTGAAATATATTACAAATGTATCATTTCAGTATTGTGTGGGAAGTAAAAATGGATCAAAAACATTAGGAAGTTGCTATTAGTAGTCAGCAATAGCCTACATAAGCTTCTAGAATGCTAAGTTTGAAAGGATTTTTTTTTTTTTTTTTGGTCTTTTTGAGACAGGGTCTCCCAGTAGCCCCAGCTGGTCTAGAACTCACTTTTTAGACCAGGCTGGCCTCAAACTCACAGAGCTCCACCTGCCTCTGCCTCCCGAGGGTTGGGACTAAAGACTTACGCCACCATGTCCGGCTAAAAGCAAATTCTTAACACTGCAAGAAAATGAGGCACTATACAGCATGTAATCCTAGGACCTGGGAGTGTGAAGTAGGAGGACTGCCACAAAGGAAATGGCATGTGGCTCTACAGTGCAAGCCAGTTTCACATGTATGAGGCTTTGATGCAAACTGCAGGAATAGGGCTGGGGAAAAGGGTGAACAAGAAACTTACATGTCCAAGTGTTGGCCCTCTTGGCATGATTGTAGCTTTATTGATAGGCATTGCATCCTTTGTGTAATATGCAATAATAGCATGACCAGATTCATGATAAGCTGTTATGGTCTTGTTTTTGTTATCAATTTCCACACTTCTTCTTTCTGGTCCTAAGATAAAAATTGTAAGTAATATACAGTATTAGGAAGGTCTCTGCAGGAGCCAGTTCTCGAACCCACACTCAGACAAACACACATATACATAATTAAAAATATTTCTTTTTAAACTAATGATAGAATTACCATATGACCCAGTTATCCTACTCCTGAGAATATGCCCAAAAGACTTTATATCTTACTAGACAGACACGCATCCACTCTATTCAAAATAGCTAAGAAATGGAATCAGCCTAGATGTCCATCAATGATGAAAATATAAGAAAAATATAGTACATATACACAATACTACTCAGCTGCAGATAGTCATGTTGTGAAACAGCTTCTAAATATTTATGCTTATACCCTAAGACCCGGACTGCTATTAGCCATGGTCAGAGAAACTTCCTTTTTGCAGTGGTCAGTGGTTAATGCACAGATTCATAATTGATCAAAGTGCTAAGAAGCTGACTATGACTGCTCAATTCTAAATGGAACATCTTTATCAACACTCTCACCAAGGTTCAGGGAACATGATTAAAGAGGAGGCAGAAAGAATGTAAGATGGGGAGGACTGTAAAAGGTTGTCATCACAACTGCCCTCATAAACTCACAGCAGCTTTGGCTATACACGCAAGACTTATGCAAGAGCAAGCTAGCATGGATAGCTCACAAGGCACCACCCAAAACTAGGAAGCTAGTGGCAGATGACAGCTGCTTGGGGAGGGAGAGTAATTCTTCTTTGGGGTATGGCCACTGGTAGGTTTTGCTCTGCTCCAGTAAATGGCCCCACAACAATGTACATATGCGCAACACTAACTGGACTGAGTTATTAAAATATAGAAAAGGACATGAAGGGGAGAGGAAGATGTATGAGGGGGGACTGGTGTAGCTGGAGGAGGGTAGACGTGGGTGGATATGAAATTTCATTGTGTACATATATGAAATTCCTGAAGCTAAATTAAAAATCTCTTTAAAGTCATTCTTTTACAAAAACTTAATGATTAATAGGTTACAAAACAGATTTAATCTATGATAAACTTAACCATAAACCAAAAGTGTAAAGCCGACCATCTTAATCCTGGCATCAGAAGAAACATTTAAATTATTCTACTACAAAATAACTTCTAATTTAATAGGAATATCCTAAGTGACTGAACTTTAAGCAAATCCAAGATCTAATATCAATTTTGTTTGGGTGTTTGAAAGAGAATGTCTTATAGCCTGGGCTGGCCTTGACCTCACTATATAGTTAAGACTAGCCTTGCACTCCTGATCCTCTTCCTCCATCTCTAAGTGCTGTTTTAGAGGCATGTGCCAAAAAACAGGGCTAAAATCAAATTTAGAGTAATGGAATTAGCCATCCTTTTAACCAACAATATTGGACAACAAGAAACACACTGGGGTGGATTCCAACATAAACCATCAGTATAATATATCTAAAAACTTTTTTCCCCCTAATTACCAGGTATGAAAATTCATGACCTAACACAATGACAAGCTTCCTATCAAGGTACACATTCCAGCCCCTAAAGCTTTAAAACATATTTGTTCCTTAAGAAGTCAATTTGTATTCTTTTATATTCAGATACATATTTTCTTCTTCTTCTAACTTTGTACGTGCAGGATAAATACTCTACCACCAAGCTACATGCCTAGCCTTTTTCTCTTTAAAATTTATTTTTATGTGTAGAGTGTGTTGCCTCCGTGTAAGAGCATCCACACATACAATACTCTGGGAGGTCAGAATAGGGCATTGGGTCCCCTGGAACTGGAGTTATGGAAGGTTGTTAGCACTACGTGAGTGCTGGGAACTCAATTTGAGTCTTCTGCAAGAGCAACCAGTACTCTTAACCACTGGGCCAGCTCTCTAGCCCCCAATCGTTTTTAAAGCCTTTCTTTTACAACAGAAAAAGGTCTTCTAACAAAAAGACAACTGAGTTGTAGGTGACTGTCAAAATCGAGTATTGTAATGAAACAACAGACATAGGCAATTATTGACTCTCAAAATAAAAATTTTTGAAATTCTTTATTGTAAATGTTGAATACTCTTAACACTTCAACATATCCAGATGCTCTAACTGCCTAAATAGACTACTTTGCGATGAAGACTTTGTTTCACATGATGGGAAAGAAGAAAATGGGGGGGTCAAGAAGAATGGGAAAGGGAAAAGGGAAAAGAGGCACAAAAGACCTACCCATTAGAATTTTATCTTTGGAAAACTCTAGCTCCTTCATGGTAACCATTTCTTTCCCATCAACAGCTGCCTTTAATGCAGCTTGATTCACAAGATTCTCCAACTCTGCTCCAGAAAATCCAACAGTGCCTCGAGCTATGATTTCAGGATCAACAGCTATATAGAAAGAGAACACAACATTAAATCTCCAAACAACTAAATGGAAACTGATCACAAGGAACTCACATTACAGAGGTAGAAAGAACACAATTATCCTGACCTACAACGTAAATCAAAACAACTTAAAACTAAAATTCAGTGAAATTTTTAATTGCTAAAATACACCATTTAACTTAATATTAAAAATGGAAAAGGGGCTGGAGAGATGGCTCAGTGGTTAATAATACTGGCTGCTCTTGCAGAGGATGCAGGTCCGAATCTCAGTTCCCACATGGGGGCTAACAACCATTCATAACTCCAGTTCCAGGGAATCCAACATCCTCTTCTGACCTCCAATGGCATTTCATGATACGGCTACACTTCCATACATGCAGGAAATATGCTCATACACATAAATAAACAAAATATTAAAAAAGGAAAACAAACCCACAAAAGTTCTAAGTTTAATTAACTTTTTGAAAAGCAAAAACAAACAAAACAACAAAAAAAGTGGAAATGCCTGAAATGTCACTAGAAACTTCAAATGACCTGTATGCTGTTTCCAAACTTATCACAAATTGAAAAAGCATGTCCTGAGATAAAATTCTGTTCTCTGAATTTCACCATGAAACACAATTTAGTTTTACGAGCTGACTCAAGAAATAGCTTCACTTGAAATTCAAGTGGATCCATATTTCCATGTCTCTGTTCCATATTTTGCTTTCTTCCTAAAAGGAGCTTATTTTTTCTATTTCACATTTTAATTTAAAAATATATACGTTTTCAAATATGCCTGTCTGCACAACTGAAAAAGACTTCCTTTGGAGTCAGGATGGAAAATGAAAAGAATTTCTTGGATACACAGAAATTATGGAGTAAACTTTTACAAGGACATATAAATGACAATAAAGAGAACATAGAAATTAAGTGGTCCTTGGAGGCATAAACGAAATAAGGACCACAAACAGGATGATCAGATATATTTCGATCTTCTATATTTACTATTTATATTAAGAAATTAGACTCACATTTATCAAATTTTATTTTATTCAGATACCACTTCAAAATTTCAGTTCGCCCTTTCACATCTGGCCTTGGAACTGTAACTTGCATGTCAAAACGACCAGGGCGGATTAAAGCACTGAAGGAAAAATGAAAAAAAGAATGTAACTTAGTAAGCTGCCTGTGCTAGCACACTCTAAACATGTGATGGGAAGATAATGACAACCATAGATGAGACAATTCTGAATACAAATGATCAGATAGTTCCCACAAAAACACAGATGGCAGTCTCAAAAAACACAAAAGTTCATGGCGGTGCACACCTATAGTCACAGTATTAAGAAGCTAAGGAAGGTGTCCCAGGGCAACCTGAACGAAACAGTGAAATTCACAATGAAACATTAACAGCAATAATAGCAATAATAAACAGAAGGTAGAAAAAAACTTCATTTACATACATGTATGAAACAAAGGTAGCATACAATCTCAAAAACAAAATATATGGGGCTTGAGAGATGGATGGCTCAGCAGTTAGAGCACTGGCTGCTCTTGCAGAAAGAACCCAGGCTCAGTTCCCAGCATCCACGTGACAGCTAACAACCATTTGTAACTGCAGATCCAAGGAATCTAATGCCCTCTCTGTCCTCCACGGGCACTGCATGACACAGATACACATGCAGGTATAACACTCATATACAATAAATAAATCAAAATCTTTTTGAAACAATTTTTTAAAAAACACAAAATAGGGGCTGTAGAGATGGCTCAGTGGTTAAGAGCACTGATCGCTCTTGTAGAAGACCCAGGTTCAACTCCCAGCACCCACATGGCAGCCATGAATCATCCTTAACTCCAGTTCCAGGGGAATCCAAAGCCCTCTTCTGACCTCCGCAGCACTGCACGACACGGGTGCACTCACATACATGCAGGCAATATACTCATACACATAAAATTAAAACAATAAATATTAAAAATATATATATATATAAGAAACAATTCTACAGAAGATTATTAGGAGAACCACACACCTATCTCAACTGGTATTTAGACTGTTATGTTTGTTAGAAAAACACAAGCTACTTACTGCATGACAATACAAATAACTTCTATAACAATTTTTTTTTTTAAGTTTTAAGATTTTTTTTTTTTTTTTGCAGAGGATAAGGGTTTAGACAGCTGGCCTGGAACTCACTATGTAGACAAGGCTGGCCTCAATTTCACATCTGCCTCTGCTGTGCTGGGATTAAAGGTGTAAGCCACCACACTTGGCCCAGTTTTTTAAAATTCTGACTATATATTTTATACATATGGCCAGGGTGTCAATGTGACTACAGGTACCTGTGGAAGGCATAAGAAGCTATCAGCTCCCATAAATCTGGAGTTAGAGCTGGTTGTGAGCTGCCCAACATGGATGCTGGGAACTGAACTTGGGTCCTCTGTGAGAGCAGCACACACACTTTAAAACACTGAGTCAGCTTTCCTGCTCCCGAAAATAAAGACTCTTAAAACCTTTATTATTTTATGTGTATGCGTATTTGCCTATGTAAGTGCACCATATGTGCAATGCCCACAGAGGCTAGTGAGGACATCAAATCCCCCGGAACTGGAGATATGTACTGATGTTAGCTATGTGGATGCTGGAATCCAAACCCAGGAGTTCTGCAAGAATAAGAGCTGCACTTTTTATTTGTTCAGGTAATTACACCTGTGTAGTTAATGTTGCAGGTGCTCTTCCAAAGGACATAGGTTTGGTTCCTAACAGCAACATGGCAGTTAACCACCATCCATAACTCCAGTTTCAGGGAATCTGATGCCCTCTGCAGGCTTCCACAGGCATTGCACAACACAGGTACACTTACATACATACAAGCAATACACTCAAAATAATTTTTTAAATGCATTCTGTTTAAACATATGTTTTCAATATTATTGAGCTACAATTCAAATAATTCAGAATTCAGAGTAGATAATTCACTGGGTCCTACTATATTCAGTTGGACAAATATCAGATATAATTTTAGAATATTCTCTCTAAAAAAGAAATTCTGTATCTATTGGTAGTTATCTCACATTCCTCTAAGTCTCTGGCAACCAATAACCTAACTTGTCACTGAATCTGCTTATTTTAAACATTTCATATACGTGGAACCAAGTAATATGATATTTCATGAAAGGTTTCTTATTTTAGCACAATGTTGTACTTGACAATTTTTTTTTCTTTTCATACTTACTTATCTAATGCCTCTGGGAAGTTTGTGGCTCCTATAATGATTACTCCTTCATTGGGTTTAAAGCTATTTAGAGGGGAAATAAAAAATACTTTTTACTAAAAACACAAGCACAACAAACATGGAAAAAATACTGACATACGAAACAGTTCATTGTTAACTTCAATGACAGCCAAGAGAAGAGAAAGATTTTAAACTACCAATTACATGTATCACAAACCATGTGTTCTACTTAGGAAAACAAAGGATGCTGCCAGGCATGGTGCCGCACACCTTTAATCCTAGCACTCGGGAGGCAGAGGTAGGCAGATCTCTGTGAGTTCAAGGCCAGCCTGATCTACACAGTGAGTTCCAGGACAGCTGGGGCTACAAGGAGACCCTGTCTCAAAAAGACCAAAAAAAAAAAGGCTTGGGTGCCAAATTAAAATTTTTTAAAAATTACTTTCAACTTTACCAATTCAAATTATTTACTCCTAAATTTCTATTTGGTTCCAAAATGTCTACTCACACTACTATCATTTCTTCCTTTTTACATTATGAACCCTGATGTAAGATTTAACTCTCTCCCAACACTCAATTATCAACTGTGCAGAAACTAATGTATCTCTTCACTGTTTTCTGGAGGAGAGTGGTGGTGAGCAGTACTGGCAGATCTAATCCAGGGGCTCATGTATGCTAGGTAGGTGCCCCACCATTGAGCTACACCACATCCCACTTTGTTCCTTCTTTAAATAGACCAATCTGAACTTGAATCATTGTTTTCCTCTTGAAATATAATTGAATAAATGAAAATAAGTACACGTTAGAATTTAAAAGAGCTAAGACTGGGCATGGTGGTGCACACTTTTAATCCCAGGACCCAGAAGGCAGAGGCAAGCTGATCTCTGTTAGTTCAAGGCCAGCCTGGTCTACACAGTGAGTTCCAAGTCAGTTGGGAGTAGAGGGAGACCATCTCAAAGACCAAAAAAATTTTTTTAAAGAGCTAATACATGAATAATGGAAACAGTACAATACTGAGAGGAAAAACTTAACGTCTTACAAAAGGGATGATTCTGATGCTTATACATATAACATCTGAATATCTACATAATCTTACTAAATGCTTCATGAGAAGAATTTGGATAAAACCGTATCTGTAACTATTAAATACTAGGCAATACCCATTATTCTAAATGATTTTTAAAATGAGATAAAGCCTAATATTCAAATTTCAAAGATGCAATTAATTACCCATCCATTTCAGCAAGAAGTTGATTGATAGTCTGCCTTGAATATGGATGCATAGGAGACTCGATTCTTTTCCCACCAACAGAATCTAACTCATCAATAAATATAACACAAGGAGCATTTGCTTTTGCTTCCCCTAAAAAACAGGAAAAGATTCAAATAAGCTGAAAGACTTCAACACTTTTGAACATAATCATATAAGGTAAAAAAAGATCATAGGAAGAAAACAGCAAAAAAAGCGCCTCAAGTTATACTAATAGCAATGTTGGTATACCACAGAAAATGACAGAAAATAAAAACAACTAGTTACTCATTCTTCTTAATTATACAAATATATTATCATCAAAGTTAAGGCAATAACTCAATTATATGCTACAGAGAAGCAGGATAAAAAAACAACAAAAAAAAAAAACAATTAAGTTTTCAATAGTCCCTAACCTCATCTAGCACACCTCCCAGGTCTTATGATGATTTAGCCTGTTTCAGAAAAGAGTACAACGAAGGCTGCCATGACATAAGCCTGATGACTTGAGTTCAATACTCAGAAACCCAAGTTAAGGTGGAACAAGACAACTGACTCCAGGAAACTGTCCTCTAACCTCCACAGGTGCTATGGTACACACACACACACACACACACACGCACACACACACGCACACAAAGTAGCAATAAACACATAAAAGAGTACAGTTCTATCTTAGTTCAGCTATTAATTTATCTGCAACTAAAGCCCCATAATGTCTACTTCAGAAATTCGACAAGCAATTGCCAAGGAAAGGCCTCTAATTAACAAATTTTAACATCATCTACGATAGATCAAAACATACTAAAAAGGTTTCTGATACGGCTAGCTCCTACACCCACAAACATCTCATCAAATTCTGATCCAGAAGCATAGTAAAAAGGAACATCAGCTTCTCCTGCTACAGCTCGGGCAAGAAGCGTCTTTCCTGTTCCTGGTGGTCCAACTAAAAGAATCCCTAGGAAAAAAAAAAAAAAAAAAAAGACAAGGATGATCCAATTGTTTTAAAGCCCTTGATAGGAACCAGTAAAACAAATTATTAATTTAAATAATACTTTGTAGAAAAGAGCAATAATCAATTTTGTCAGACACAGCAAAATATGTTTGTTCTGCTAATATTTCATTCAGGATTTTTCCCTACAACTTGTTTTCTTGTGTCATTTAACATGCAAGAGGGAAAGAATCTTCTTTTCTTGGTCTTTTCTTGAGAGACAGAGGCTCCCTTGTAACCTCAGCTGACGTTGAACTGCCTATGTAGACCAAGTCTGCCTCTGCCACCCAAGTGCTGGGATTAAACACACACACCACCACGCAATACAAGGAAAGGATCTTAAGGCAAAAGAACACAAACTGTTTTCAAAAATATAAAATTAACATTAAAAGATGAACAGCTAAACAGAATAGAGAAATACTGATTTGATGTTATTTCCATAGAAGGCAAAATATTTCTAGATATTTGGGATAAATTTTTTAAAAAATCAGACTCTAAAGAATAATTTCTGCTAAATTAGGTAAGATTATTGGGACAATGTCTTTATTCTTAGGTGACATATAGTCAAGTAGTCAATTCTACAGCTTTCTTCCAAATGTTCAAGACACACACACACGCAGAGGAAGAGTATGTGACAAACTGTTTAGTATTGTTGAGCCTAGGTTGAATGTACACCCAAATATTTAGAGGTAAAGTAGCACTGTATGTTTAATTTACTCTCAAACAACAAAAAAGCCCCACAGAGCTGTAGAGACAAATGTACAGAGACAAAAATGTTTACAACTTGTGTGGACTAAGGAGGTTTGTTTCAGTGTGTTGGGGTGTGTGCGCATGTATGTGTGTGCCATTCTTGGAACTCAAAGTATCAAATTATCGAATCTCAATAAAAAGTAGTTACAGTGTCCAGTGTGTTATTAATGCCTTTAATCCCAGCACTTGAAAGAAAGAAGCAGATATACCCCTGAGCGTTCAGGCCAGCCTGCACTACATAGCAAATTCCAGGCTAGCCAAGGCTACATAATGAGGCCCTGTGTCAAAAACAGAAGTGGCTATAGAACTATATATATGGGACAAGCACTTTTTTTTTTCCCTTGGTCTTTTTGAGACAGGATCTCCCTATTAGCCCCAGCTGGCCTAGAACTTGCTATGTAGACCAGGCTGGCCTCACAGAGATCCGCCTGTCTCTGGCTCCTAAGTGCTGGGATTAAAGACATGCACCACCACGCCCGGCTGACAAGCCATTTGTTTAAAATATTAAGAACTGAATTTTAATCAGTTAAAATATGATCAAATAAAAATCATAATATATTACTTAATGTTCTTACATCAAATAAAAATAAAAGGGGGAAAAAAATCTTACCTTTGGGAAGTTTACCTCCAAGCACAGTAAACTTTTGTGGATTTTTCAAGAATTCAACAACTTCCTGTAATTCTTGTTTGGCTTCCTCCACCTTAAGAGGTACAATGTACCAAATAAATAATGGACTACCAAGTTTCCTCTTTGACAATCATAAATTTAATGCAGGTATGGAATGACCTTGGCTTCTTCATTTCAGCGAAAAAATTATTGGGTTTCATACAATGTATTTTGATCATATTCACCTTTCCTCCAACTCCTCCCTCACCCCACACCTCCCTACCTACACCGTGTTTTCTTTTTTCCTTCTTTTTCCCCACAGTGTCCAATTTGTATTGCCCTGGAGTGTGGTCAACCTAACAGGGACCACAACCTTAAAGAAAACTGACCTTCCTCAATAAAGCTATGATGCTTCGGGCTCCTTCGCTATAGGTGGGAAAACGTGAACAGGTCTTGAGCATGTTGTCACAATCGCTGTGAGTTAAACATTTGCAACTGCCCTACTGTCTGGAAAACAGTTTCCTTGTAGTTACCCACCACCTCTAGCTCTTACAATCTTTTAACCCTCTCTTCTACAAAGATCCCTGTGTCCAGGAGTGAGGGGGTGTGATATACATGTCCCATTTTGGGCTGAGCACTCTGTAGTCTGTTTCAATAATTTGCACTTTTGCACTGTCAAGACCTAGTTCCTATATTCTTTCATGTAATAGATCATAATTTTCCTTGTCAAAGGTGACATCTAAAACCATGATAAATTCCGTTATAAAAACTTTTAAGAATATCAACAAATGCCAAAACCTCTTGGAAAGCAGCAGTTACAGCAAAGACGTTGAGTTTTCCCAGCAAGAACAAAGGTAGAATGAACAAATGGGTTGATAGGAGCTCAATGTAAAAGATAATTTCCAAATTATATGCACCTTTTATAATAGCTCAGCATAGGATAGAGTATTGTCTGTTGCTCATTTTTGGGGGGGTGGGGTTAATATATTTTATTTATTTTTATTTTATGTATATGTGTGTATTGCTTGCATGTAGGTAAGTGCACCTGTGTTGTGCATTGCCCAAGGAGGTCAGAAGAGGTTGTCAGATCCCCTGGGATTGGTGTTATGGACAGTTGTTAGCTGCTATGTGGGTCCTGGGATTCGAACCTGGGTCTTCTGCAAGAACAGCCAGTGTTCTTAACCACTGAGCCATCTCTCCAGCCCCCTATTTTGGTCTTTTTGAGACAGGGTCTCCCTGTAGCCTCAGCTGTCCTGGAACTCACTATGTAGACCAGGCTGGCCTTGAACTCACAGAGATCCACCTGCCTCTGCCTCCTCCTCTGCGCCACCACACCCAGCCTGGTGCTTATTTCTTCAATTAAATATATTTAAATTTTTAAATGACCCAATTTTAAAACATAAAAGTTTTTCTCCAAATCCTTATTTCTAGTTGTGTGGTATTGTTATCATGCCAATAAAATCATTTGAAGTTCCTTCATTTTCTCAGGAAAAGACACAAGTCAAATACATTGGAGAGATATAATTTAAAGCCAAAGTGCAATCTGAAAACCTGTAACTTTCAGGTCATGATTATATTTCTAGGAAATTTACCAGAAATGTTTCCAGAAAATATCATAATTAGTCAGGAAGCTTGTTTATAGTTTTAACTTTCCAATGGGCTTTGAAATTATTCTAATTAAAACGCTTAAAATTTGCTGGGCATGGTGGCTCACACCTTTAATCCCAGCACTTGGGAGGCAGAGGCACCCAGGTCTTTGTAGTCCAGGCCAGCCTGGACTACACAGTGAGTTCCAGGACAGCTGGGGCTACAAGGAGACCCTGTCTCAAAAAAAAAAAAAACTTAAAATTTTACTAGAAGTTTCATCAAGTTAATAAATAAAACCAAAGCTTTGTTCATTCCTAAGCCCAGGAGGAATGTGCACATGCTCACCAAGATGCACAGTGTTCATACCAACACTATTTGTGCCCACAAACTAGAAGCAACCAAAATGTCTACCTAAGAACAGAATATTGTGATAGTCACATAACACAAAACAGGGTCCACAAGCAGGTGTGGCAAAAGAAGACCAATATAAAATGGGCCATGCTATATATACTACATTTACAAATTTTCAGAAACAGAGCTAAGGGACAGTATTATAAGTATATAACAGGACAATGAGTTGTCTTAGGGTTGAGGAGACAGTAAGAAACTGGAAGAGGAAGAAGTTCTGGGGAGGTCTAGGGTTCTGTTAATGATCTTTTTCCTGAGTTGAGAACAATGACAAAGACATGCTCAATCTGAAGATCTATGTACTTTTATACAAATTATGTTAAATTTCAAAAAGATGACTAAATTTCAAATGGATAGTTTATTTAAAAAAGAACACTTTTTTAAAAGCACTCATACACAGCTGTATACTAAAAGACTAAAATATGTTTCGTTAAAATACTGGATTAAGCACTCTGGAGGCAGAAGCAGGCAGATCTCTGTGAGATGGTAGACCAGCCTGGTCTACACAGTGTTCCAGGCCAGCTGGGAACGACGAGGAGACCCTGTCTCAAAAAGACAAAAAAAAAAAAAAAGAATAAAACAAGACACATGAAGCATTTTCAAAGAAGTAATATTCTATCGCCAATCTCTGTGGCAAGAGTATCCTCAGTTGAGGAACAGAAAGGCAATTGGGCAAAACATGGTTAAGGGCATCAAGATAAAGTTTTAAACAGCTCTTATTTATATTTAAAGTAGCTCTACATAAATATATACCTTGCATATTCAGAAATTCTGGGAAAGAAATGATTCCTATATAAGTTCCTTAAGAGTTGGAGAAACTATGTAACGGAAAGCCTATTATGGTAAACATTACTCAATTACCCAAATCAATTTAAATTTTACAGCAATCAGAACCATTCATTTTAGTATGGAAATAATTTATAAGCATCTCCTTAATTACCCTGTTCAATTATCATCAATTCAATGAGAATTCAATTTAAAAGATTTATTTTATTTTAGTTATATATATGTGAATGCAGGTGCCAGTAAATGCTAGAAAATGGGTTGATTCCCTGAACTGGAGTTACAGACAGCTGCTAGCTGCCTGGAGCTGGGAACTGAACTGAGGTCTTCTGCAACAGCTCCAAGTGCTCTTAACTGCTGAGCCTTCTCTCTAGCCCCAAGAATTCAATTTAAAGCAAGCAGGATAACAACCACTTCAGCCAGAATATGAAGGGCCTTTCCATACTGATGACTCAAGTTTTATCCTCTTCCTCAAATGTTCACTTAGCAATTTAAACAGTGTTCACAGAAATTAAATTGCAGGGAAAGTTGGGGCAGCTTTGTATGAAACTACCATAATGAATCCTGATGCTCTCTACAGCCAAAGTTGAATAGAAATGGTTATGTATTCACAGGGCCACAAGTACAAAGGGAGGGGGAGGGAAGAGAATAGATATAATTTGCCTCTTTAGAGTTGAAGAGTTCATGAATTTCAAGTCTTTCTTAGGATGAATTTTTTCTAGAACATTTCTGAACAACTACCTATCTTCTGTAATTACCAAAATCAAGTATCAGGAAAAAAAATCCAACGCAGTAACAGAGCACATTTATATAAGGCCATACCTCCAAAGTTCCGATGTGGAAGAGGAAAAAAGAAACAAATCAGGGAAAGAAAACTCATTTTCACTGTTCTTGATATAAACTTATGACACCAAACGTGAAATTCACCCAATAATCCCATTTCCCTAATCCATTCATTCTACAATCCTAACAAAACGCCATTCCTTCATAAACCCACTCATCTTGCCTCTTCCATCCATATTCTCCACTGATATCCCTAATTCTAATTTCACAAACAACTTCCAATTATCGGTTACTAGAATATCTATCTTCCTGCTTTGAGATAAACTGTCCTCTCTTTTCAAACAAAATTTAAGAATTGTTTATAATTGCCTATTCTAACTCATCTCCTTTGATCTTTTGTAAACTCACTATATTCAAAATTTAGCCCTTGTTGGTCCACTAAAATTGTCCTACATCAAGTACACCAATGACTTTCCCATTGCTAAAACAAACAATAAACCTCACTTAGTAACATCATCCCACTGAATATATGGTAAGATAAACACATTTTTTGTTTAATTCCAAAATGGTGTATCTAAATATTTAGTCATCACTTTAAGTATCTTACACTTAGTACTCCAAACTGAATTTCTAATCCCCGTTTCCAGTATCTGCTCCACCCACAGCCTTGTTTTATCTGCCTGATTCTAATTCTTCACTAAAATCCTAGGGTCACTCTTGTGTTTTATACTCTAATTTCTACTCTGGAAATCTTCATTTCCCCCTTTAAAATATGTATCAGAATCTATTTCTCACCACTTCACTCCGACAATGTTGGTCTAATCCACCACTACCTTGTCCCTGGCTTCTTTTAATAATCTACTACTAATTCTTGTTCTCTCAAGACTGTATCAATACAGTAGTGAGACTGTTCAAATGAATTTTAAGCAACAGAATTCTGCTGCTCCAAATCCTTCAATGGCCTCTACTACTCAGAGTACGTACAAGTCAGTCTTTTTAACAGCTTGTAAGACACTATGGAACCTGATTCTACTGCTTACTCATTCCCTGACCTTACTTCCTGCTGGTGTTCAATCACTTGATTTCAAAATCACATACTTAAAACTTCATTTAAAACACAACTCCTCTCACAAGACTCGCAGTCCTCTCTTCCCTATTTTTTTTAAACAAATAACACTGTCATCACCTTCTGAAAAACTCCTACTTCGGCCAGGCATGGTGGCACACACCTTTAATCCCAGCACTTGGGAGGCAGAGGCAGGCGAATCTGTGAGTTCAAGGCCAGCTTGGTCTACATAATGAGTTCCAGGACGGCTGGGGCTACAGAGAGACCCTGTCTCAAAAAGACCAAGAAAAAAAAAAAAAAAAAACTAAGTCTCGGGCCAGGTTTGGTGGCACATACCTTTAATCCCAGCACTTGGGAGGCAGAGGCAGGCGGATCTGTGGGTTCAAGGCCCGCTTGGTCTACATAATGAGTTCCAGGACGGCTGGGGCTACAGAGAGACCCTGTCTCAAAAAGACCAAGAAAAAAAAAAAAAACAACTCCTATTTCCTTATATAAAATTATCACTGTCAAATTCCTGCCTTTAGAATTTAAACTTTGTAAGAACGGAGAATTGTATGTACTAAATAAAAACAGTGCAATTCGAGGTTGGAAAGATGGCTCAGCAGTGAAGAGCACTAACTGATCTTGCTAAGGACCAGGGTTCAATTCCCACCACCCACATGGCTAACAACCACCTGGAAACTCCAGTTCCAGGGGATCTGATGTCCTCTTGACCTCCTTGAGCATTGCAGCACATGGGTGCACTTACACACATATGCAGAAAATAAAAATAAATGTTTTTTAGAAAAACAATGCAATTAGTACCATTATTAAACATTCACAAAGAAACACATTGTCTAATGTTTCAGATAGTAGTCTTCCAAAAATGTATTGATGTACTATAGTTACAAAAAATAAGAGAACAGGTAAAAAAGTAGCATTTATTGGCTATTATGTACAAACCACATATATTATCTGTGAGAATCTAAAGAAATACAAAATTTGTTAAGGTCACATAGCCAATATGAAATAAAATCTTGAAAATTAGTCTATTTAAGTCCACATTCATCCTACAACATTATGGAACTCCTTTACAAATCAACACTAAACCCAATCATGCAATAAGAAGATACGATCTTCTATCTTTCATGCTGAAATACTCAAAGTCACAAATATTTCCAGACATCAACTTTTCTAGTTCAGAATAACCTTTACAATTTCTACAGTGGTCCTATGTAGAAAATACAAAGACAAACAAATGTTAACTTACTCCTTTAACATGCTCAAAGGTGACATTTTTCATCTGGACAGGATCTACTGCAGAATCAAGCCCTGTGGTTGTCCTGAAGCGTACTAACAAGAAGAAAATACATGTTGATATTTGATACTAAATCAGGAAAAATTAAGTATCTTCAAGGCTTATGTTCATGCTGTTAAATCAGAAAGAAACAAATCTGGATTTCTAAACCAAGTTCAAGGACTAAATGATTCCCTTTAAAGAGATACATTTGTAATTTCCAATTTAATACCACTAATTATTTTCTTCTTGTAGAACTCTAATAATAAGTATCATAAATCACTTAAGAAACTGGATCATAACAGTCAGGATTTGTTCTAAAATGTTTCTATCAATCCTTACCTGTTACAAAATGTAAATTTTTTAACCATTCATTCTTCAGAATTGGTACTGAACTGACCACCTGGGTACACAACAGCCATACTTGGAAACCAAAGTCAATGAAGATAAAGGGACTAAGAGGACAGTCAATTTTTGGTTCCTACCTAAGCTCAGCAAGGTCCCAAAAGAGAACACGACACCCCTAAAAGCTTCCTACAACCCAAACAGATCACTAGTCCTCTTGATCAAAGATGGTGGAGACTCCAGGATTCTAACCAGTGTATAATCTGCAGATAGGATCCTTACAGAGAGAAACGTCCCCAATGTTTCCAAGAAAATCCAAGTGATCTGCAAGATCTTGGCTCATTCCAGGAATAGGTACAACTGGTTGAAGCAAACTAAAAAAGCCAAAGGGCTTCTCCTAAATCCCTAAAAATACCTACTAACCTTGAAATGATCTTCATAGTAAAAAGAAAAAAGTTAATGTGGGGCAATCTATACAGTCTTAACCAGGAAGAAAGGAGAGCCAAAGAGTAGAATGATTAATATAAAACAAAAGGAGCTAGACTAGATTTGTTAAGGATAAACAATGAATGATTCAGTTCCTGGAAGTCTTATGATCTCCCCACTCCACCCCACCCCCCCAGTATGAACTACTCACCTGCAAGGTATGGGAATCACAACCACCCAAGCAATGATGCTCATATGCTTTTCCTAACTGTAAAGAATATTTTCTCCAGCCTATATTTGATGTCGTAGTTAGCTTTAATTGTCAACGTGACACAACATAAGATCACTTGGGAAGAGGGAACTTCAAAATGAAGAACTGCTTCAATTAAAACTGTCTAACTATAGTAGTTCTATATGAGTAATACAATGATTTCTAATTTCCCCAGGAAACCAAACAACTGCCATTAAAATACAACAGTACAATTTAGAAGTGAAAAATGACTAGGCAACATGCAGGGTAAGGAGATGAGAGATGGCTCAGTGGGCATAGAAACTCCCTAGTACAGGAGCTGGAGAGAAAGCTCAGTGGTTAAGAGCCCTGGTTGCTCTTGCAGAAGACACAGGTTCAATTCCCAGCACCCACATAGCAGCTAATAACCACCTGTAACTCCAGTTCCAGGGGAATCCAATGCCCTTTTCTGACCTCCACTGGCACTGGATATAGGTGCACCTACCTACATACAGGCACACGCACACACATAAATATTAATAAAAAAAGAAATTCCCTAGTACTAGGAAAGGGACACAGTTCTACTTATTTGAGAACATGGACAAAGCCCAGGCCAGTATAATACCCTAGCTTGAACTTAAAGACCAAAGACTGGATCATGGAGGAGTCCTGCAAGACTTTCTAGTACAACATGAATATACTAAATGAACTGAATCAGGATGGCTCCATGCTGTCCAAAGAAGCCCTGGAGGATGACCTCCCCATGCACAGCTAGAAGGGACTTTTATGTAAATCTCTCCTCTACACTATTCAACATCAAAAAAAAAGGCACACTGGAGGGCAGCAGCTACCCTTTCTGACGTCATACCCACAGTGAGGAAACCCAGTTCACTGTGGCTGGCTGAACTCTCAGTCTGGCATTACATGTAAAGGACCTGTCATATCATGCTATTGCATTGGATCCACATCTCTTTTGAATAAACTATCACCTCGTGGGGTTTTTTTTTTGCTTTTTTTGGTCTTCTTGAGACAGGGTCTCCCTGTAGGCCCAGCTGTCCTGGAACTCACTATGTAGACCAGGCTGGCCTTGAACTCACAGAGATCTGCCTGCCTCTGCCTCCCCAGTGTTGGGATTAAAGGTGTGCGCCACCACACCCGGCTAATGCTATGTTTGAGAAAAACAGTAACCAATAAAAGTCATATGCTAGAGAAATTAATTCAGATAAAAGACTTTTTACCTGATAAAAATGGGTTTTTTAAGAGTCCATAAATGCCAAACAGCAGCAGAACAAAGAGGATCAGACGAGTTCGCCTTAAAGAATCTGGAAGAGAAAAAAAGCCTCCAATCAATGATATCTTTGTACAAGTTATCAGGTTCATTTTTAATTTTTTACTTATTATTTGGTTTCTCTTTGATTTTGAATTTGATGTAATAAGTTGTATTTTAGGTTTAGAATACAGCTCAGCAATACAGCATCTGCCCAGGTTAAATCATCAAAACCACCAAAAAAAAAAAAAATTAGTTTAGTTTATGAAGAATTGAAAATATATTCCACTAGCTATTTCCCTCCAGTCTCCCATTAACATTTATCTGTGTAGTAAACCTGTTACCAACAAGCAGTATTGGTATACTATTATCAGCTCAATACTGTAGCTTACATTACAGCGCACCTTTTAGTTAGCATATAAAATGAGTCTTAGTGCATTTTCAAATACATATCATTGCACCCTGTTCATATCTGTACCCTACTACCACTCCCTTTGCTGATCTCCTTCCTTCCCCAAATAGCTGCCCTTCTATTTTCATGTCATTCATATTCATGTGAGTCATATGCAGCAATTGTCTCTTTGCCCCAATACCTTCTCTTGCTCGATTCTCCTCCACCCTTTAGACCCCACACGGCACCATTTCTTTCATGTCATACACATGTGCATATGTGTGTATACATAGAGAAATCAAATAATTCTGAATAAGAATAAACATGCACTATTTCTTAGAGTTTGGCTTATTAAACTAAATGAGGATATCCAAAAGTGACATTCCTCTTCACGGCTGAACAAAACCCCATTGTGTATAAATACCACATAATATTTATCCAGTCATCTGTTGATGTCATATAGGTTGGTTCCACATCTTTGTTAGTATGACAAGAACTACAATAAACACCAATATACAGGCATCTCCACAGTACACTTTGGTTCTGTGGTGTTTCAATGAGAACATCCCCACAGGCTCCAAGTATTTGGACATTTTCTCCCCAGTTGGTGGCGCTGTTTTGGGAGGCATTAGAAGGTATGGCAATGCTGGAGGAAGAATGTCACCTGAGGTAGGCTTACAGAGTTCTTAAACCCAGTCACACTCTGCTTCCTGTGCCTGCTTGAAGATGTGAGAGCTTAGTTTCCACTCCTACTCCAGCCACCTATGCCTCCATGTCTCTACACCATGCCTCTTTGGAACCATAAGCTCAAATACACTCTTCCTTCTATAAGTTGCTTTGGTCAGTGTTTCTATCACAGCAACAGAAAAGTAACTAAGACAGATCCCTTTCTGTCTAAACTCAGATGCACAGCTAGATTACGTTCAATTCTATTTTCAGATTTTTGAGGAATCTTCTTATTGATTTTACTAAGGAACCCGCCTGTTTAGTGTGTAAGGGTTCTTCCTTCCTTCTACCCCATGTTTGTGGTTGTTTCCTTAATGATGGCCATTCTGAATGGGGTGAGAGACTCTCACTATAGTTTTAATTTACATTTCTGGGATGGCTAAGACTTTGGTATGTTTTCATGTACTAACTGGCCATTTCTATTTCCTCTTTTGAGAATCGTCCATTCAATTAATTTAAACATTCACTGATTAGATGATTTGGGAACTGTGTTTAAAATTTTAGAATTATTTCTAGATTCTTGATATTAATCCCATCAGGTATCAATAACTGGCAAAGCTGTTCTTCCATTATATAAAATGTTACATTACGGGGCTGGAGAGATGGCTCAGCGGTCAAGAACAGTGGTTGTTCTTGCAGAAGACCCAGGTTCGAATCCCAAAACCCACATGGCAGCTAACAACTGTCTGTAACTCTGGTTCCAGGGGATCCGACAGCCTCTTCTGTCCTCTGCGACACGGCATTGCACGACATGGGTGCACTTACCACAAACAGGCAATACACGCATACACATAAAATAAAAATAAAATTTTTAAAAAAATGTTACCTTTCTGATTACCTCAGCTGTTTGGAAGCTTTTTAATTTCGTACACTCCCATTTGTCAACACTCAATTATTTCCTGAATTACTAGAGCCCTTCTCAGAAAACTCTTTTCCTATACCTCTATCTTCTAGGGTATACCTGTGTTTTCTTCCAGCAGTTTTAGATCTTACATCAAGGTCTTTCATCAATTTTGAATTAATTTTTGTATAAGGTGAAACAGGGATTTAGTTTCATTATTCTACATGTGGGTATGGAGCACTAGTTGAAGAGGTTGTCTTTTCTTCCAGCGTGCTTTTGACCTTTGTCAAAAACTAGATGACTGCCATGACTATCTCTAAGAACCCTGTATTTATCAAGGCACACATTTCTACCCTTTACTTTCATTTCCACATAGGGTAAGTAATCTTAAGCTTCACAGCAGACCATAACCAATGTTAAGACTGATGATCTTAGACAAGTTTTTATGGGCCGGGGAAATGGCTCAGTGGGAAAAAGAGGTTTTGTGCTTGCTGACAACCTGAGTTCAATCTCTGGAACACACTGTGGAAGTATAGTAGAAGGAAAGAAACAACCCCCAAACTGTCTGACCTCTATATATGTGCCATGGCACAATCAGGACAGGGATGGACAACACACACGCACACACGCGCACACACAGTAAAAAATGTTAAATAAAAGAAAAAAAATTCTATCAATTTAAATGCTATCTTTCTAATTATTCTACCTAAATCAGCTTACCATTGGTTTTTTGGGTAAGGGCTTGAGCTTTGAGGAAACCCTCAGCAAAACCAGTTTTAAATGCATCCTGGTGAGCTTCGGGTATGTTTTTAGTTTTCATAAGTTTGTCCAAATTCTCAAGATCTGTTCCTCTCTCTCGCAAAAGAAGCCCCTGAAAACATAAGAAAATACAATACTATTAGTTGGCTACAGACAATAACACTCCCTAGGAATGTGGTACCTGACAAAAAAAATCCATTAAAAGCCTAGAATTTCTATTTGTAATGCTAATAGAGATTAACAATAAATTACGTCAACAAGTAGGATACACTACATTTAACCCAAGTAGGACTAATTAATAACATAATAATGTAAAGAAAGTGTCATTACTTGATTAAAAAAGTACACTGAAAACAGTTAACAGGACACATTATTTTTAAATTTTTAATGGATTCTTGTTCAACCCATTTCATTTGTTAAAGGAAAAGCTTCAACAACTACTAAATGCATTTTGTGTACTAGTCTAAGTTCTGCCATGTAAAGATAACGAATGAATTAATAGGAAGATTTTCAGAGCACTTGAAAAAGTTACATAAACAGGTACTTTTTTTCATTTTGACACAGTGTGGCCTGTGTGGCCACTAGCTAGCCTGGAATTCACTATGTAGACCAGGTTGGCCTCAATCTTACAGCCATTTACATGCTTTTGCCTCCAAGACCTAGGATTGAAGGCATGCGGCACCATGCCCAGCTTAATTAACTACATTTCAAAATTTTTTATATGTATTTTGTTTTGATTTTATGTGTATGTTTCACCTGCATGTATTTAAGCACACTACATGTGCACAATGCCCACGGAGGCCAGAAGAGGGTATGAGATACCCTGGAGCTGGAGTTACAGACTGTTGTTAGCCGCCACATGGGTGCTGGGAACCAAACCAGAGCCCGTTTAAGAACAACAAGTCCTATTAACCACTGAGCCATCTCTCCAGCACCAAATAAGTACATTTAAAAAGTTGCTTTGATATTATGCTATAAGGAATTTTACTACATATGGTAGTAAAATAAATACTACCTAAAGAAAATAGAAATGTCGTACTGAGATTGAGACATCCAAATCACACATAGAGGGCTAGAGATATACATCAGTTGGCAGACTGTTTGCCTAAAACACAAAAGCCTTCGGTTTCATCTCCAGAACTGCATGAACTAGGCATGAATGCATAAATACGTAGGGCAGCACCTGAGAGATACAGGTCAAAGATCAGAAGTTTAGGGTCATTCTTGGGTTAGAATCTGGCACAGGACACATGAGACCATCCTTCAAACCTCCACGTCCCAAAAGACACATAAGGCATTATGCCACATGCCTTTAAATCAGCACATGAGAGAACTGTGAGGATGGGCAGTAGGATCCTCAGTTAAAGGCCAGACTAAGACACACAGACTCTTTTTAAAAAAAAGAGAACAAAACACACAACCATCTACACATAGGAAACAAATGCCAAAGACCATGAACAAATAAACAATCTGACAGATACATGAAAATAATGTCCAAGGACAATTAATAATCTAGTAAGACATAAAGGAGAATAAAGAGTATATAGTAACTAGCATATTTAAGATGAGAGGATTGGCAATAAAGGACAAACAATGAATACCCTGTTGTAACAGACTGAGCTGGGTATTAAAGCAGAATAATGAAATCAGATCATTATTTTAGAAACAAAATCAGGTGAGGTAGGAGAGATGACACAGCAGTTGAGAGCACTGGCTGCTCTTGCAGAGGACCTGGGTTCGATTCCCAGCATCCACATGACAGTAACAACCTTCCATAACTCCTGTTAAGGGGATTCGATCCCCTCTTCTAACCTCTGCAGGCATTGCACAACATGGGTGTATTAGACACATGCAGGCAAATACACTCAAACATACAAAATGAAGTATTTTGTAAAAACAAGTTCAATTCATACTCATAAGGGAATAATTCTTCAAGAGGATATTGCAACCAATTACAGGTACACCCTATTTCTTAAAACAAATACTACTAACTACAGCCACAGTTTAATCCTAAAACAGTAATAGTGTGAATACCCCACTCTTACCAAAAGACAGGTCATCTAGACAAAATTTAAACACTGAATTTACATGACAATATAAATCAAATGAACCCAACATTTATAGAACACACCACCCAAACATTCAAGAATACGCATTCATCTCAGGAGCCCATGAAATGTCCCCCAAATTGATCACTTATTAGGACACAAAGCAGGTATAAACAAATATAGGAAAATAGAAATAACATACTGTATTCTATCTGACCACAAGAGAATAAAGCTAGATCCAACAGCAACAGAAATTATGAAAGTACACAAATTCAAGAATGACACTACTAAAAGCTGTGTGGGTCACTGAAGAAACCAACAAGGAAATCAAAAAATTACTAAGATTGAATGAAAATGAAGACACAACATCAGAATCAATGAGGCACAATGACAGCAGCCCTAAAAAATGAAGTCAATAGCATTAAATGCTTACATAAAAAACAAAAAAAAAGAAAAAAAAGGGCAGAAATCAATGAAATTGAAACAAAGAAAACAAT